GTATCTAGTAATAAGACTTGTCCTATTCGTTCTAGTATTTTAAGAAACGTATTTGAAGCTATAATATAATTGAAAACATAATATAATTTGTAATGATATAATTAATAAGATCTGGGTATATATTTGTTTATATATTTGTGAAACATTGTGCAAATATATACATAATGCTTATAGTATGGAAAATGATATAAAATATCTCATTATATTATTTGTATTCTTTGTATTATTCCTCGTCTTGTGTTGGGCTCGCAAAAATTTACACAAATAGTCTGTAGTCTAATTGGTAATAGGATATTTCTAATTAATCAATATTTTTAAAACGTTCAGATGAATAAAAAATTAATGTAAGAATCAAATAGAGAATGTCTTTTTAATTTTAATTGATACGTTGTTTTAAATGTTCAACTAAGATTGTTCTTTAAAACAGAAACGAAAATATGATTTATATATGTATCATATTCTTCAATTTGTGACTTACGCCTCAAAATTATTAGGCAAAATCATTTGCGTTGACGTCATTCGATTTGATCCGAATGATTTTAAAGATTTTGATCACTGAATAATAAATTTTCGTTTCTTCTGACTGCTTCTCGAGATGGGTTTTTACGTGACTTAATGATTATTGAAAATGGTTGGTTTTATGACTACACGTGAATGTGATTTCATTACCATACACAGTTATGTAAGTAAGTAAATTTGGTTTTAATAAACATCAACTAATATTTTTTGTAGTTTATATAGAAAATTGTGAGATGTCTTGAAAGTAACAAAAATTGTAAATTATAAAATATGAATCGTTAAAATTTCAATACGTATTTGTAATAAAATTTCACGATGTATTTTAACGTAATAATAAAAGTAGAAAATTGATTAATAATTTAAAGATCAATTTTTTGACCGACGAAAAATTATCATCCCTTTTAAAATGTTTCGCAAAAGTCTTTCGAAAGGAAGAATTACATTGCCAGTGTTTAATCGGTGAGTCATACGTATCTTTCAAAAAAAATCAATGGTAAAATGTATAGCTAGCATAATAAATAACAGATTTTTTGGCAATAGATACAATGTATGAATAAATAAAAACAAAAAAAAAAGAAAAGAGAGAAAGAAAGTAAGTATTGATGGACTTTCTAGTCTCCAGCTGACAACCGTCGATCATCACGATTTTTAAGCGTTTAAGACTCATGAAATATCAATGCAACATTAATTTTGCATACAATAAGTATTTCTTCTACTTTTCTACATTTTTAGCACATTAATAATTATTATTTAATGTCATTAAAACTCCTAAAATGTAGAAGTTTGATAAAGAATAAGTGTCTTCTTTGATTGCTTGATGACACAAGCCTAACAAAAACGAACAGGTAACTGCTATAATAAGATATTTGCCAAATTATTCTAACTAACATATACAGAAGTAGAATTTAATAAAATAGTGTTGATCATATAGAAACAAAATTAATTTATATTTATATTCATACAGATACATACAGATTTTCATAGTCTACTGTAAAATAAGCATTAGCTTTTAAATTAAATGATCGACTAATAACTTGCTGATGTACATACACGTAAATTAATTTCACGCGAGTAAAACGAGTATGCTAACGTCGTAAGAAATTGGACGGAAGTAAAACGTTGGAATTAACTAGGCCACCAAACTCGACCGGAGCAAGAAAGAAAAAAGAAAAAAAAAAAAAAAAGAAAAGGATGCCATCGAATCTCAAACGAACGTTAACCGGAGAAAATGTATAACTATCATGGGAGAAAGGTCCAAAAGCCGGGTTCATTGGCCTCCGTCTTCTTCCGAAGATGCACATATGACGTTTATAAAATGTGTCGTCGGAACTCAAGTCGATTTAACGCGATCACGTTGGATGAAAAAGGAAAAGGAAATATGACAAAGATCTCACGAATGTGGATCTTGGTTCACGGCCAGAAAATGCTTCTACGTCGCTTTGAGCTCTTGAGTGATTGATGCATCGACGTGACGAGAAAGCACGATATTTAATGTTTTCACATAATTTAAAAAGTATTTCAGTCGTGGCACAATTTTAGTATATACTTCCTGTATGTATTTCTGGGGAATCAAATTGGAATTATTGGTTATTTAAATCATGAAATATGAACTTTTTCTTAGAATTTAGTTTCGTTTCTCGTTTGTTATATTAAGAATTAAGTAACTAATAATTGTAACTCTTTTGTTGTTTTTTTTTTTTTGATTGTATTCACAAAATAGAGCTTGTAAAAAATTTTTTTAACAGGAAGCGCGTGTCCAAAAGTAATAAATAAACTATTAAATCCCACTTTCTTTAAATCCTATAATTCATAATAACCCATGAATTATACATCACAGTAAATTTCGGAATTCAATCGTACAGAATTATGAAAATTGAAACTCACAGCACGTTGAAATAAATCTATTAGTAAAATAAATTTTCATAATTTTTAATTAAGAGATTCTTAGAAAATTTGCCTCCAGTATCATGTCACAAGCACACAGTTACAATACTACAAAATATACTACAAATACTACAAAATTTGTAATAAAACGTTTCGTTTATTATCCTTTGCGTCTGTAAGTAATAGCTCATGGTCACTCCGATTTTTAAATAAAAATTGTATTCTAAAACTTTTCTCATTTAGGTCAATTGAAACCGGTTTCTGTTTAGATTGCTCCTTTGAAAACGTCCGATTACGAACATTTATCTTTCTTGCTCGTGTTTGTTTTTTTTTTTTTTTTTTTTTTTTCTTTCACTATTCGTATACGCGATGTATGAACATTGAATAGGTGGTTCTTCGGTGAATAAACAACGCTCACATGATTTCATCTTTTCGCGTGGGCGAGGTAAAAGTTCTTCCGCTGTTTCGTGAATGAAAAACGTTCGATGTCATTCTGGGGAGGCACAATGTGAAATTTGCATAAGATGGAAAACGCGATTAGGAACAGGTCGGCTGAAACGAGTTTGAAACAAATCTAGAATGAAATCAGTGCAATAATGATAACAACGTATATTCAGAAATTATTTGAGTTTGGTTAATACTGGAGGCAAATTTTCTAAGAATCTCTTAATTAAAAATTATGAAAATTTATTTTACTAATAGATTTATTTCAACGTGCTGTGAGTTTCAATTTTCGTAATTTTCAAGCGATAGATTTCTTTAAAAAATCAGTCTTCAGTTTGTATATTATCCACGATTCAAAATGAAATCGATTCGATTGGAATATGCAGTTAAGATTCTGGAAGAAAATTTTGTGACTAGATAAAAATTTTTACTTCTCACAAACATTATTATACACATATATAATGAAAGTATTCGGATACTCGATGAAAGCTTGTCGATATTTTAAACTATTATATATATATTTTACAATTTACTTTGTAAATTTTTAAACAAAAATACTCTCACTTTTCCATTTGCTGCATGATGTTAAAATATTTTTGAAAAAAATACGAATGTGGGTTTATCAAAGTAGAAGCTTCATGCATTAAAATGCATCAAAGTGAATTGTTGTACGATTTTGTTCATGAAGTTGTAACAATTTAAAACATTGACAAATTTTCATCGAGTTCGAATATTATCGTGGACTACTGCATAAGAATTATTATTACATATAACATATATCATTTAATAATTAATATTCCCATAAATAGTCTGCTAGTGATTGAATGAAAAAACAGCAACTTTCTTACTTGTTTCATACGATAATTATACAGAATAATAAGACAATGTCGGAATGGCAATAATTCGATAACTAATTCAGAGTGTGTCGTATAATTCTTTTCCAAATCACAAATGAAAAGTTGTTGTCCTTACGTGTAACACGAAACTGCTTGCAAAACTGTTGCTCGGTATTTCTGTACAAGCAAAACTGAGCTTTGGTTTGAATTACACCAGACATCGTGTTGTTGAATTTCGAAGATCATAATGCACGGTGAACCCGATGAAATAGATTTCTTACATTTATTGCCAACGATATCATTACGAAATCTCACATACTTGTCACTTGGGAATATCATTAGATCTCTTTTAAATCTTTACTTCTTTAAACGTTATAATTAATTATCAATTGCACGATGACTTTCGAAATATGTTCATTTTAAAATACAATATAGTATAAGTCATTTCATAGTAATATAAAATACTTCAATATTTACAAATTCCAAGGATCACTTTATAATTAAATATTTATCATTAAGCTCCCAAGAATTCGAAGATTGTTAAAATCCACGATTCTTATCTCAGTAATTTATATTGTTGATTTAATTCAGTCGAAATTATTTATTTCTTGAGTAAAAACATTATTTGCACGAATAACATCATTCGTATGATTAGTTAATATTAATATTATTCAATCAAATGATGCTTTATTTAAATAACACTTTAATTGCTAATCATAAACTGTTTTTTATTATTATAGTACAAACAGTATATTTGTTTTTAAAATATTTGTGAAAGAGATATCTAATAACAGGATCTGATTAAAAAAACTTTAAGAAATTTAAAAAAAAAAACTTTAAAGAAATTTTCTATAATCGCTAGGAATTTAATAATAGCCGAAATTCACGTTAAATGTAGAAAAATGCAATGGCAGCTTTTTCATGTTTCAGCATGGCATTAACATGAAATTTCGCAATCACTTCCGCATTCTTTGATCGTGTACCATGGTGTAGAATTACGGCGAAAGAAAAATGTAAATTTTACGATAATTAATCGAAGACAATGAGGGCACAGATACGATCAGTCGCACACCAATTATGGTTGCATTGCAACACATAATGATTAATAATATGTCATAAATATTACAGCCATGTTCACACGCATCATGCGATTTAAATATCTTTAAATGTATGTTAAAATATTAGAATAGTTACCCTTAGATAAAATCACGAATCGATTCCTTCTTACGTCGTCACCTCATTGACAAAAATTTTACAACAGCTTCTATACTTTACAATCAACCTATAATAAGAAAAATTACAAGCATTTATATTACGTGTACAATAATACAATATATAATAATAAATGATAACATACTATAAATAAAAAATTACAGTAAAATAATGTTTTTTGCATTTCCATAAATTATTTCTAGGCACTCAAACTAATGGTGGAAAAAAAAAAGCAACGGAAGCTCTTCGAAATTCGATTCGACATGATTCGATTTCATTTCCAAACACAAGTCTGAAAGTAATTCTAGCGTGAAACATTGTGTTCACTCGTTTGCGTGTTAGATGACAAAAAAAGTTGCTTTTGACGAAACATAATATCAAATATGTACTATCTACGAACTGTTAACAATAAAAAAAAATAATTCTTAATAATTTACAGTTATTTAACAACAAATAGTATTATCATTTGTATTGTCATTTACATTTATTGATCCAATTAAACTGTGCATTCATTTCACGAGTGATTACTATATAATTCAATAAATTACTGTAATTTGAAGAAATCACTAATTTATAGAAATTGTCTTTTATTGTTATAAATGAGTGAAAGTATCTGATCTATTTATTTATTTTTTTCTGTTATTGTAAAATTAAACAAAAGATAGTTAATGAACAATATTAAGCATATATTATCAATTTAAAAATTGTAAAATATCAATTTCTATATAATAAAAAATAGATATTCCGATTGATCATTCAAATATAAATATTAGAATATGTTTAATTCATAAAGAAATGATTCATCAAGATAGAAACTGAGTAAATTGACATAATATGTAAGATATAAAGATTGCAGTGACTTTATGCCCTAAAAAACACTGAATTGAATTAAACCAGTCGATATAACTGAATTTCTACATCACTGAATCGCCATAAATGTAAATATAAAATAATAAAATTTCTACAAATTACAGTTACAGTATATTAATAAACATACTATATTACAATATTAATAAATATTGTTTAAAGGAGAAAACATACACCCTTGATTGAATTATGATGGATGATTTCTCATGTTTAGTTTTATTTATATATTCACTCTTTCATTACATATGTAGTTAGAGTATGCCATTTAAGACTGTATACAATAATTATGTTCATAATGATAATATACATTTTTAAACATTATATTCAAAATATATTTTCAGTTAAGTTCATTTTGCTATTATTTTTTAAGCGTATTTTAGAAAAAACATAATATTAATATTACATTACTCAAATTGTGTAATATTAATAAACTTTTATCATTATTATTTTAATTGAATTATTACTAAATAAGGACAAGTCTAGTGATATTGCAACACTTTATTAAAATCGATTTATTTATACAAATCGTATTAAAAACAATTTCATTCTTAATCTTTTCGGCAATGACAATTAAGTAAACAATTGTCCCCAAAATATACTTATGTAATACTTAACTGAAAAAATGATATTAAATATTACGTATCTATTTCTTTATTATAAAATTCCATTTGTATAACATGTTAACTAAGATTTATATTAATTATGAAACAAACGTAAATAAAATAGAAACTTACATCACAATGGCTATGAATTAAAAAGCCACTCGGAATGTTTTTTTCTTATATAAAAAACAGCAATCAATGCTCTAACGTTACTACCACATTTTTTTGAAATATTTTCTGCGAGTTTGACTGATGGATAGAAAACTGAATAATATTAGATATTGGTGGCAAATTAGCACGAAGTGCTACTCTACAAACATGTCAACTACAATCAAGTAGATATTCACGGAGGTTGAGAGTTATATCTGTTATTGTCATCTGGTAATACTAAATGAGATGCTTGTTCATCTTCAAATATGCCTTCATCTACCTCATCGTCAGAAATGATAAGTTCATCAGGATATTTATAACTATTACTTAGTTGACTGGATGGTACCACTTGCTCCTATAAACGTAGAATGTTCAAGTTAATATAGCACAGACATATTATACTATACATACTATACATACTACACAGTATATACGAAAGCTACACAGTCATAAACGAAAGCATATAATTCAAAGCACACAATTAAATACAACATCGATCAATTTACCTCAGATTCTGTATTCACATCTTGATATGAAATATCAATTTCATAGTCAAATAAATCCTCTTCTGGTTCTTCCAATGGTTGAAGCAATAATTGAGCAGAATCCTCAGTTAAATTCATAGTTACTTCCGGTTCTCCTATAAATTTACATAAGTGTATACTTTTTATCATGCATTAAATATATACTATTTAGTTTCCTTTGTGTCTTTGCTTACGAAGTGGATCATCTACACGATTATCCAAATTAAGATATTCCGTTAACCTGTTGTTATTACTATTATTACTATTATTATTATTGTTATTATTATTATTGTCGTATCTACAGTGAATCAATTCGCGACACTCTTGATTTTGTAATTCATCCATATCCTCTGTCTACTTCAGTTAATAGTACACTCAGGCTGGATCGTCTACTTCTACGCAATATCTGTATACGCTAAAAAACGAATATATTTAATTTGTATTTGTACATGTTCTATCATGGCATTGAATGTCGGATGAGAAATCATGATCATGTAAGAATCATTTAAACACGAATTAGAAGATTTACTTTGAATTGTTATATCTAGCTGTTGCGAGACAGCAACAAATATTTCGTGATGACGAGGATCTCGTGGATCCTTTTTCTTCTTCAAAATTCATCATTTTGAGCGGATGACTCCGATTACAGTGACGATATCAGAATTCTTCGTCCTTTGCTCTGTTATTGTTAAAACTCATTAATCTATCACAGAGTTTGTTTCTAAATAGAATTATGAAATCTAAAAATGTGCTACGTCATGACGATTGTCGACACAATGTACTCTCCTAAATATGCTCACCTTCAATGACACGCCTTAATGCTTCTTTCGTAAAACGTGGAACGGTATACAAACTTTATTTAAAAATTCCTAGTTGTTATCATCAGAAGTGAGAATCACAACGAAATAATGACGAAATCGCACAGTGAACAATCCCTCGAACGTTGCGAGCTGATAGGTTATACGCCTGCTCAATTCGAATAGCTTTTGTCGAATGACGTCATGTTCAGTAGCGTAGCTATGAAATTAGCACTTCAATCACAATCTTTTTTTTCTTTTTCAAAATTTATATTTTCAGAATTTATATCTTGATATATTTAATTAGATGTTACTAAACAATAAAAACTTGTTCATTTAACGATTTATTAAGGATGTAAATGTGAGCGTAGTCCAATATTCAATTCGTCGAATTGTATTTATAAAATTTTCTTTTGTACAATTTTTTGCCAAAAGAATTTTAGGACAATCTATCGTACAACAGTCCTGCACAACGTGTACTTTGTTGTTAAAATTGATCATTTATATCCAAAATATTTATTAACATTATTAATTCAGACGCAATATTACAATGAAACACTACATCCTATTGATCTATATTAAAAGCTTATCAAAAATATTTTTTTTTTGTATATATGTATTTCTTTTAAGATTAATTGTATACTTGTTGATAACTAATAAGCTATCTTCAAAAAGGAATAAAACGACATATTCGCAGGATATCGAGTCTAAATCGATAATCTCGTCACTTTATTAATTGTCATGAGAAGAAAAAAGAAAAAATATATATATATACGTGTGTATGTGTGTGTGTATGTAACATAGAAAATACAAATTAATAAAAAATATCCATACCTTAAAAACAATTTAGGATAGATGCAAAAAGTGATGTTCGGAGAAAAAAAACGAGGCTGTAAGTACAGAAAAAAAAAAAAAAAGTAACAACATACACGCCGAAATCGGAAAATGGATTTTACGGAAGGATCTTCAAGGTTTATTTTCGTTTCTTTTAAGCAGACAACCGATTAAAAATTGCCAACCGAAGATATCGATGTTAATTACAATACTGATTAAAGAATAGCAGAAAAAGCTTCTCTGAAGCCATATCTACATGATATATAGCGATTGTTGCGAAACATTGCAAACTTATCTTCGATTATTTAAAAAAAAAAA